GCCAACGCTATACGCTTAGTTATAACTAACTACAGATCTTTCGAGTGTTTTGAGATTTGAGAGAAATGAAAGTTTGAGAGGAATTAGAAAGCTACGAAAACTAATGCATGAGAGATCGTTGTGAAGCTCATTGAAGTTGGTCTCCGCAGGGAGGCCTCGAAGTGTGATATGGTAGGTTATGATAAAACTCTACGTACTCCACGGTCCATTTCCGAACACTGGAAACTTCAGCTAGTAGCTGTCTATAGCGTGGAAGCTTCCACGCTGGTAAATATTAGAGCGATGTTCTTCAACAACTAGTATGAATAGCAGTCATGAGAACCCTGTCTCAATGACTATTCGCGAAGGATACGTCATGAGTCGAACTCAAATCCTATCTAGGATCGAGTCGCGAATAAGGCTAGAGCCGTGTATTGCATTGCCCCACTGACAAGGGTCAGAGAAGGCACGACATCAGTCGGACAAGGAGAACGATGAGTATTAAAGTGCGGGGCACCTCCACGGAGATTGATGTAGAATAGTGCGTCGCACGATGGCAATATCTCTACAAGGGGACAGGTTGTATGGGTGTATATCCTTATGTTCCAAAGTCTGGTAGACTGTGCGCATTGGCGTACATGTCGGAGCCGTACACGTTGCCATTGGTTCATTGACTCCGGTCTTTATTGTAAGGACCTTTGTACTTGGGCTGCCGTACTGGCGGTGCTGATACTTTGAAACCTTACAGTATCGTTGACATTGTATTTATGAGGGCACACGCGTCGGGTTTTTTCCTTATCAGTGTTTTTCTGGATGAGTCGTTGGCGACGTTCTTTGATGTGTTTCCAGTTGCTTGGAAACGGACGTTGTGAATCGCGTCAAATGAACACGTGTGGTAATGAACTTGCGACGAAGGTCCATATTCATCCCGGAGAGTCTTCCTCGACTTCTGCGCGGAACTCACTTCTCTATCCATGATAACCTAGCAGGCATGGATACTGGGTAGCCACGTCTGTTTCTAGAACGGTGGCTAACTTTTCGTCTGCTGCATTGGAGCAGATCTCGGCATCTCGAACCATTCGGTTACGGGTCAATCATTGTCAAGCAATGAAATGGACAGGGATCCTTTTCTTGGGATCCCCGACGTTGTATGTACATGTGAACGTCTGATCCATATGTCTCGAATAGTAGTTCACTAGTCCAATGAATCTACCAGTTTTCTTCCTGTTCGTAGGAGGAGCGATTTCTGGATCGTCTATTTTCTTTGTTAGGGTTGGATTCCTTCTTCAAGTAATCCAGTAGCTTAGATCTCAAGTTCTCTTCTTTCGAAGAAGGACTTGGTGCATTGATACTTAAGTCCGGCTTCTCGAAGCCTTTAGGAGAACTTCATCTAACTATTCAACGTGATCTACTAGATCGCCTTAGTTAGGATGAGTTGATATCAATGTATGCATGGACATTTCCAAGTCGTGCATGCGTGTTCCCATCTTCCTTTGGAAGATGTCGGGACTATTGCATAGGCCCATCGGTACTCGTTGGTACTCGTATTTCCTGTCGTCTAGATTCAGTAGCTTGTCTTGTATCCTTGGGATCGGACAAGGTTTTTGCTCAATCCTTTGTTCAGTTCCCGGACGTCAGAGATGAACCGTGTAGATCCTTCTTTTTGGAAATGATAAATGTTGGTGCCGTCCTACTCGGAACGGTTTACCTTCTTAGTGCTCTGCGTCCGCAGAGACGTTCGACCTCTGTCTTAAGAGTGTTGGTATGGACACGTGGAGTAGGGTAAGCCCTAGCGTGATAGGTTTTAGCGTCAGGACGAAGTCTACTTCGTAGTCGTCCATTTGTCGTTTCCTAAAGTCCTTCGAATTGGTCGGAGCACTTGGTCAATAAGGCATGAAGTGGTTCCTGCTCTTCCTTATTTACCTGGTTTTGACTCTGGCACATCTGCCTTACATGGTAGTAAGTCGAATTGATTCTTAGTCGGAGAGAATGTCTCGACGTGATATGTCATACGCCCCCAAGTGGCGTGCAAGTTCCATTCGATAATTCTATCATCGTTGGAACTCAGGAGTCATAGTGCACCCTTACACTTCGGCTGGGGTTTAATTCCTTTAAGGGGTAGTCCATTGTGTTGGACGCCCCCATATCCTTCATGCTTAAATCTCTTAGCATGAATTGGGTAATCAAGGTTTCGATGCTTCTGTATCCAGCAAGCAACGGAGTGTAACGGGTTTTGTTTCCTTTTTCTCGTCTGTTAATCTAACATAGACGATAGTTTTGAGTCTCTTGTCGTGTGCACGTTGACGAGGTGGTTGGCCACGGACGAGGTTAACAATGCGGCATAGATCGTCAGAATCTAGTTGAGCAGTTTCTAGGCAATTATCTAATTTGCCGTTGATTCATCGGTTGCAACAATTCTTGTTTACTAGTTAGTGAGATATCTTCATCACTTAGTATGAGAATCGGAACATGGTTCCGTTGAATCATATCCAGGCCTAATCCTCAGACGGAGATCTCTCCATCGATTGATTGAATGCGAAGTCGGCAAGAGCCTTGTCGACTGCAGCCATTTCTTGTCCATCATGTTGAGGGACCCGACAGAGGAGTCATCTCGTTGTCAGAGTCGTCCGACTTGCGTTTGCAACATGGTTGCATTGCTTTTCTTCTGGCGATCCGCCTTGACCGCAGCGTTGGAGACTTTCTTCATAAGGACCGAAAGTTCCTTCTTGGTGTAGGACTTGGCGTGTCGACTTGCGTTTCCAATTTGTTCTTGTTGTAGCTGGTTTGTATGTTGTAGACGAGGACTTGGCTTTGAGTTTCTTCAGAGTCATGCAATCAGCAGTATTGTGAGTGCTGGACTCGTGTAATCACACCATTTTCTTCGCTCTTGGAAGATGGTCGTTGTTGCGGTAGACTTGTACTTCTTGCTGTTGTTCTTCTTCGAAGTTGCTTGGCATCACTGCCTTTGTCAAAGTCTTCAGCGGATTCCATGCGCTCACAGAATCCAATGAGCGCTGTCATTTCGGCAGTGAAAGGATCGAAGTCGTGTTCGTTCATCTTGCGCATCCAGGAACGAGGAATGCCATGACAGATGATGTCGATGAATTCCCCTGGTTCAACTGTTGATTGCACCGAAAAGTGGCAAACGTGGAAGCTCATCGGTGTTCATCCGAGTGAGGTTGTTGATGTAGGCGCGAGTTGTCATCTCGCTAGGCTTACGCATCTTGCGACGCATGAAGCGTTTCTGTTTTTCGAGAGCTTGTAAGGACAGGCTGCTTCGATACCGCGTTGATTCCAAAGGTGATGTCAGCATCGTTAGAGCGGTTCGCTGCACCGTCCCATGCGCTTGGACACGAGCCTGGAAGGCTGTTCGGTTTCTCCAGAAGCCGTATCGCGTGGAGGAACTGCGTTTACAGCATTTGTCGTAGGGCGTTATGACGCACGGCACGATGGCCTGCACATCCAGCTTCGTAGGCACTCTTCGCAGAGCTGGAAGTCATTTCCTTGAGAAGGCGATGTTTGTCGTCGGCATTGGCAAAGGTTGAGTCCAACGAAGACCTTCTCCATATTCGTAGCCCACTTGATGGTCTGACGTGGAGTGTTGGAACCATTGATGATGGCTACTTTGAAGGTATATTTGGCACTGTTTGCATCTGCAGGAACGTTGCGAATGTTTGTAGGTGGTTGCACGAGAATCTCGATCTCGGCGTCTTCGTCGTTGTCCACGAGGGAAGAATGGGTTTGTCAGCAACTGTTTCTCGAAGTTGGTGACGCATGCTTTCCTTGAGCAATCTTCATGGTGAAGGAATAGGTTGAGGGTAGTGAAAGCTATTGTTTTGTTAACAAAATGCACTACGCTAAAAGCTAGTGTAAAGATCTTTCGAGTGTTTTGAGTTTGAGAGAATGAAGTTATGAGAGAGATTAGAAAGCTCGAAAACTAATCCATGAGAGAGATCGTTTGGAAGCTCATTGAAGTTGGTCTCCCGCGGGAGCCTGAAGTGTGATATCGTAGGTTATGGCAATAACTCTACGTACTCCACGGTCCATTTCCGGAACACGTGGAAACTTCAGCTAGTAGCTGTCTAGTAGCGTGGAAGCTTTCCACGCCGGCTAAATATCTAGAGCGATGTTTCATCGACGACCTAGTATGACTAGCAGTCATGAGAACCCTGTCTCAATGACTATTCGCGAAGGACTACGTCATGAGTCGAACTCAAACCCTATCTAGGATCGAGTCGCGAATAAGGCTAAGAGAAATGTGTATTGCAATGAGATGCTGAATTCATAAAAAATTCTCTACGCAGCAATCGAAATGCCTGGTGCGTCTACTGTATCTAGTTATTTATTTATTTATTTATCTAGTTTGCTTCACAACCGATGCTGTTCAAGCGATCCCCCAAACCTACCGTGTTGTGAGCAGCACTAGTACTAGTCTGTATGCAGTTAGTCCTCTTCGTCGTCATCTTCCAGGTCCATCGAGGCCCTCTTCGACCCAAACGCCTTATCGAAGATCTCGTAATGTCCAATGTCCTCAGGTCCCACGCTGGGGTTCATGCTCCGTAGAGATATTCGAAAGTGCTTGTATGAAATGGCAGGCAACGCTTTCAACTCCATTTTCAATGCACTTGGACCCAACTGACGAAGTGGCCCCATTGCTGCGTCACTGCTGAGGGCTTTCAAGTCAGCTCCACTGAAACCGTCGGTGTCTCTGGCTAGTTTTTCGATTTCCTGGCCAGAAAGTGTGTTCTCGTTCTTTTCCAACAGCACCTTGAGCAGGCAAGCCCTGTCCTTTGCATTTGGCAATGGGATATAAAGCCGCTTGACAAAGCGTCTCCGGGCGGCTTCATCAAGTTCCTGAGGACGATTGGTCGCCCCAATGACAAGTACTCGGCCCTGAGAGCTAGTTCCCGTTCCATCGAGGCCCACGAGGAACTCCGTTTTGATTCTTCTGCTGGATTCGTTGTCATCTGACTTTCGTTGTGTGAGCAAGCTATCAATTTCATCCAAGAACACCACAGATGGTTGACGATACGCTGCTACCCCGAACATGGTTCGAACCAGCTTCTCTCCTTCGCCAATCCACTTGCTGGTCAAGGAGGAACTCGAGATTGAGAAGAAGCAGGCTTTGCTTTCGTGTGCGATTGCTTTCCCAATAAGAGTTTTCCTTTTGACACAGCACAAACGAATCAATCGGTGAGAATGGGATGTCGTCGTTCCAATGCGTTCCATTGAAGCACCAAACGTACCCAGTACCAGGGGGGCCTATACGCGCACAAGGTACAGTGCAACAAGAATGAAGACAACCAAGTGAGTGTTCTTGTTTTGCTCTAGCTAGGGAGTAGTCAAACAGGTAAGGCAGATTTGGACATGCAGCCATGTACGTATGAGGTTCGCACCAAACAGGAGCAAACCATTGGGTGTGCGACGCAGCCCCGTGAATAGGTCTGGTCGTAGCATGGGCCAACAAACGATTTCCTGGATGGTTGCTTTGGCATCCTCGAGCCCAGCAATATCATGAAATGTAATGGGTTCGCCATTGTCCATAATCTCGCTTTCAATCTTGTCGACAAGATCTTTTCCAAATCGTTTCAACTCCTCTGGCAATTCTTCGTCATCCTCATTGTCATGTTTGGTGCCGCCACCACCAGCCACTGCTTTGCCACTAATCTTTTGGGCGACACCTTTCTGTCGATTGTTGGAGGAGCTGGTATTCCCCTTGGACTGCTGCTCTCCGTTGTTGAGATGGGGCATGAGTTAACCAAAACTAAATACAGGTAGTTGTAGAACAATGCGATGCTTGGACTTACGGCGTTCATTTTGGGAGGCTGGAACTTTCGTCGGAGAGAGTCCCGAATGTTCGGTGCATTGGAAATGGGGTTGTCGGATTCTTCCATTTCTGCCCCATCCGCCGGAGCACATTGGAAAGCAGTTTGTTGCTGTTGAGTGTGGTTTTGCTGCGCAGTATTTCCACTGGTTTTGGCGAATTCCATGGCAGACACAAATGGGTTTTCCGGGGCTGATTGTTGTTGTTGGAATTGTGTGGGAGGCACCAATGAGTAAAAGGCGTTGTCATTGCTATTGCTGTTTGGTTTCTTGTAGGGATTGTGCCGTTCTGGCTTTGTTGGGGGTTGCTGCACTGCTGGATTATTGCTCTGTTGTGAGTAAAGGAACGAATTGGTTGCTCCATCTTCTCGAGTCGGTTGAAAGTCTGTCTGTATGGCAATCTCCTTGGTTGTTTTCAGCACTTTTTTCTGGGGTTGCAAATCAATGATCTCTTCTTCACTGCTTCCACTTTCATTGTGGTAATCATCACTGTCATCATCATCATATGAATACTCTTCCTTGGATCGCATGCATTCAGGATATTCCTGAAAAAAGGCGTCCATATCCACTTCGACTCGTCTGTTCTGGTCCAATTGGATACTTTCCGCAGCAGAAGGAGTCACAGGTACATGCACTAATGCCGCTGGCAGATTTGGCTCGTCTTCCAACTGCATCATTTGGAGCATTCCCTGCAGAAATCCTGAATTCTCGGCAGGCCCCTTGTTCATAATGGCACTCTGGATGTTTCCCATTCGACCTGCTCGGGCAGCCAATGCGGCGAAATAGCTTTGTGGACCGTCATTGTTGTTGTCATTGACTTTTTGTTGCAGCAGATACCACTCTTCATACATGGTAGCAAAGTCATACTGGCTGACAGGGCGCTCAGGAGCTGACAGATCGCCTTGGGAGGTATCAACAGTGCCTCCATGGTGCTTGGCATCAACACTACTACTAGACTTAGATGGTTTCGCCATGGTCGAAGATTATTCATTCAGCAAAGAGAAGGTAATTGACAATGCTCAGTCACGAATTGACAAATATTTGCGTCACGTGTTCACCAAGAGTAGCTCCGCTCCACAGCTTTGAGAAAACAAACTAGGGGGGCCTACGGTACCGAAGCTAGATACCGGTAGCTAGTTGTGAATTTGGAAGGGGGGGGCAAACCTAGTAGCTACTAGTACATGTACGGTAGACTAGCTAGCACTGGAAGCTACCGGTAGACTAGTAGAGGTCCTTTGCGACCAGATCGAAGGCGCTGCAAAAGTGCTTCATTTTCCAAACAATCTGTTGCCTTCGCCCTCTCGATTGTTGCTTGTTGCTCCTCTGCAATGGGAAATTGCTGCGAAAAAGGAGGAGGCGCAAACCCTTCGGCCTTTCAAGGAGAGGTAAATAGAGTAGAGTGTCTTTTTGGAAGTGTGAAGTTATGTACAGTATGTGTTGGTAGGCACTCACGTACAATATACATGTATTCCGATAACCTGCTTGCTTCAAGGGACATCGCTTGGGATCGGTAGATGATGCCAGACCCACTCCCACAACGCCTTTGACTGCTCACAAAGATGCTGTACCAGAACCAGTGTATGATGACAATCTGACACCAGAAGAACGAGAACGACAACGGGCTGCTAGAGCTGCTGCCGCCGAAAAACGCTTCAAGGACAAGGGTGGAACCAAGCCCAAGAAGAAGGACACCTCAGGACAACCACTACGAGGACCCAATACACAAAACACCATGCGATGGAATGCAGGTTGAAAAAACAACCAACCAACAAGCGTGCTTTCAATGTCCGGCTATTTGTAATAACAATTTCAGAGAAATTCCTTCAAGAGATTGTGCAGTGTGGGGCATGAAGGCGACAATTTACCAGAAAGAATTGGTTGGAGCCGTGTCACCACTATACGTTATATCCGGTACCGTCGAGTCTTAGTGCGGCAGCATTTTGGGAAGGTCTCTTTAGCCATGGATTTGCGATGTGATGCAAAAAGAATGAAAGCAGAGCAGCCATGCTAGCGAGGTATCACGCTGTCAATAAGGATGATGTAGCTTCGGAGTACAGTACCGGTATATGTGCGGGTGTTACTAATAATGCAGTATCTAGACTAGCTAGGATATATTGCTGTTGATCAACCCAGCACTTTGTACTACTCGGATGACTGTGAGTCCTCCCAAAGCGTCGGCTCGATTTGTTTGAGAACCAGATAGGATGGTTTCTCGTTGCGGTTGGTGGACTTGTCCCATACCGGTCTCAGGTCCCAGTGGTAAAAGTTAGGACCCAAAGCTTGCGTCAACTCGAGGGCTTTGGCAAGAGCCAAATCACCCGCGATGCGGACTTGCTTTAATGTCGGATCGTTGTGCCGTAAACGACGGAACAGAATGTTGAGTTGTGCTTCATTGGTAATGGCAGATTGATCAGGATATGCATGTTGCTCCCAACGACCCTCATCCGGAGAGCTCGAGCGATTCCTACTACTTCTGTTGGCCTTGGGGCTACTCGCTGTCCACGGCCTGGAAGGACGTCGCTCACGGTCGATTCGAGTCCTTTTCTTTTCCGACGTTTTGCCCCGCAGATTGGATTGCAATCGTTGAAAGAGTCGTTTTTGGCTTGCCGTTCGAGCCTCAGACACCTTGGAAGTCCCCCTTTCCTTTTGCGCTTGATCGGCATCTTGCATGGCTCGGTTGTGCTCCTCGTCGCGGCATACAGGTGCCCACTCAGCATCCTGCATGGCCCTATTATGCTCCTGGTCACGGCACACCGGCGACCATTCGGCTCTTGCTCTGATTCTAGTTCCAGGGAGACCCTTCAACTGAGGCTGATGATTCTTTGGATTCAATAATTTGCCTTCTCGGGCACCCTGCCTGGCTTCTTCCGCTCCCAGCCAGTCGGCAATACAGATTCTCTCCCCCACCTGTTCACCCTCGCCTACAACAATCCCCGTAAAGTGCCACTGTTCGGTGGGCGTTCGGTCTTGCGGATTGTCACTGCTGAGACTGAATTCGCTCAAATAGTGCGATGCCAAAGTCACACGGTCGTCATCCGACAGAGCAGCTTGCATTTCTTCCGAGCCATCGTAGGTTCCCACGCTGCCCACTTCCATCCCACCGATATCCGAGTCAATCTGCATGGTCGTCAAGCACCCGTCACTTTCGACTCTTGTGTGTGGTCCTCCAGAAGCGAATTGTTGTGGTTGTTGTTGGAACTGTTCTAGCCATGCATTTTCCTCTCCGGGCAAACACGAGGACGGGAATTTGTGAAACCACTCCACCATGGAGTTGCCCAGAACGTTGACTGCCTGGACCAATAGTGTTTCGTTCAACTGTTGAAGCTCGACTGCCGGTGAATTCAAGAGTGGACTGCCGTTTCCACACAACACGTGCTGGTACTCCAGTACGTGTGACACGAAAGCTTCGACCAGGGTGGTCTTTCTCTTGATGACCTCTAGCTCGGGTCCTGCGCAAATCCAGCGGCAACAAATCTGGTCGACTTCTGCCTCGATATCTACTATGGCTCCGATTTCCAGCTGAAACAACTGCTTGGGCTCAAACGCTGCAAAGCTGGGTTGTGGCGTGTGTGTGCTCAGACTGGAGACGGTGAGGGCGGCACTGTGGTCACAAGCAGACGTGGAAGCGGAGCAATTGGAAATCACAGAGACTTCCATGGATGCTTTCCGGGTGAAATTGTCGCGAACTTTAGGGGCACCAGCAGTGGCTTCCGCAGGACAGGGCGGTGTGACGACAGGTTGTATAGTCTTGTCGTTGTCATCGTGGATAGCAACTGGTGATGTTGTTCTAGTAGCGGCAGCGTTGTGGTCCGCAGAAGGGCTGCTTCCCAGGGTCGAGACTGTGTGCGCCACGGTGGTCCTGCTGCAAGCCGAAGTAGAACAAGCTGACACAACAGACGCCTCTGTTGAGAATTCGACCACCTTGTTGTTGTTATTGTCGTTACTGTTGCTGGCAGCGGTGCCGCATTTCCTGCGTTTGGTGTCAATGTCTGCCTTGAGAAAGTAGTCTTGGTGGTCTTGCACAAATACCACGACGTCGCCATCGAAATCGTTTAAATATCGCAACTGAGGATTCGCTTGCAGCAGTTCTTGGTACTTGCCCGTTCCCGCTTGCTCGGCCTTGTGGACGTCTACCCAAAACGTGACAGCCGGTTGTTCTGCCAGCTCCAGTTCCTCCTGCAGCAACAGACTGGTCGAGTTCTTGATGTGGTGGACTTCGGAGGAAGACAAGTACTTTGTGCGTCGGATTTGACTTCGAACTTTCTTGTAGACTTCCACAGCTGGAGTCAACGCTTTCACCTTCTTTCCTTTGTTGTAGCGACCCAGAATCACATGGTGCTTCTCCAAGGGAAGCAGCTGCTCTTCGCCACCCTGATGGTGGTCATACAGCTTCATGTCGGTCATTTTGGGAGGCTCGAATCCAGACATCATATCAATATCCATGCCTGTCTCTATGTGTGTGCTGACGCTTGTGGTGGCGAAAGCCTTGAACGGGGCGTCGTCCGAGGACATCATGGTCGCAGTATGATCATACAGGTGTATTCCGAGCAATCAACGAGATTGATTGTAATGGGAAGTGGCAAGGCACGTTTTGAAAATTCAGTCGAGGCGACTGGTTCGACTAAAACGACTGCATGTCACGGTCAACCCAGCTGCAAACAGCTGCCACCGGTACAGTTTCTCTAAGTTTATTAGCCAGCCAGGCTGTTGACATTTGCGGCATGAGTTCCAGTCTAAAGATTTGACATTCTTTGAAAGCATGCTGCATGCAACCACACGATGACCTTGTCGCTGGACAAACGCTTTCGATGGATTAGAGCTATTGCAATTAAATTTGGCATGGCAATTTCGAAAGATTCAAGCATTCTATTCTACTCATCCAGCAAGCAAAAACCAATCAAGGGCTCATCAGTCAAATCTGCTTATCTTGGTAACAAAAAGAGGAACACACGTGCTCCAACCGTGCAAATGTCTTCGTTGAAGAGAGGAAAGCTTCCCATGCCTGGGGTAACTCGCCGTCCGTTCAGCGTTACAATATCATCGTCATTGAGGGCAGTGAATTGAAAATCGCCAGCTGATGTTGGAGCGTATCGGATCGTAGCCGCCGTTTCGCTGCACGTTAAGGCGGCGCCTCCAACGTTGCAATCAATTTCACCCACCGAAGCGCCAATCTGGATTTTTCCAAGCCCCAGTTGCTTGTGTGCCTTGCGCGTTAACGGACTCGCTGCAGAGAAAATGTCGTCAGATGCTATTCAATTCGAAACATTCCAAAAAAACAATGAGGGCTTACCATTGCCAATGACACATAATGTTCCCTCCATGAGCGCTCGGAAGCTCTCATTCGACCCATCAGTGGAGTATTCCGCTGCCAAGGCGGACGTGGCATCTCGCTCTTGCTCTGGCGAATCAAAAACGCGGTTCGAACAAAACAATTCAACGTCCCAACCAAACAAAGTTGCCGATAGTCCTAGCAACATAGCCGCCCCTGACGTTGTTGACGAATCCGAAACTTTGCGACAAGGACGCAGCAAGTCGTCCACTGTTGGTGGATGGTTTGGGTCCACCAACCGAAATCCGCTGTCCTGAGCTGGGACGATTCGAGCACCTGCCAACGCGACAAGATCCGCGTGACCTTTGTTTAGATACTGATCTCGAGGCGCCAGCGACCACGCCTAGGTTTTCAATTCCAGTAAATGTTAGTTGATCAAACACTCGGGTATCACAGTTATCAAGGTGCAGCACTTACTCTAGAAGCGCCTTTGGCAAGGATTGGAGCAAGAGCTTCCTTGTCTTCTACCTTCTGTCGCTTGGGTCCCGGCTTTCCCTTTTTCCTAGCATCGCCTCCATCATCTTCATCGTCACCACTGACTTTGCGTTTTTTGGAAGCAGCACCTTCACCCTTCTTCGCCTGCCCAGCACCTTCCTTTTTCGTTTCACCTTTCTTTTCCTTTGGCTTCCTCTGCGTCTTGGGTTTCTTCTTGTCTGCTTTTGGGGGAGGAGGAACCAGCTTGCCTTCTTCGATCATCTTCTTTTCTTGCTCATACGCTGCGGCAGCTTCTTCGCCTTCTCTTTGCGCTTTTAGAGTCGCTTCGGCTCCATACAAGATTAGATGCGCCCATGCTGGTGCAACATCAGACAACGAAGATGCGTTAGCTTTTGGCAAGCAAGCAACGTGCGCAACAAGAGTAACTACTCACCATATATTGCAGCTGCATCCCATTCGCTGTCAAAGGTTCCCAGATAATGGTTCACACCCATGAAGGAGATTTGCGATTGCCAGCGGTCGTGCCCTTTTCGTGCTTGACGGCAAACGCCTCTGTAGGCATAAACATGCCGCTTGGAATTACCACCTGTTCTCGACGTTTGCCTAGGGTCCCGAAGCAGCGGCTTCACATCAGCAGGCAGGTCCTACATGCAAAACCAAACGTTGAAGCATTGTTGTTAACTTCAAGGCCAAAACTCCAGCAGAATTCAAAAGGCTTCTGATATCCTTACCTTGATGTTGATCACAGAAAGAGCCGGAACCACTGATGAAGGAGTAATGGAGAGTGAAGGAGTAATGGAGAATGAAGCAGGTGAGAGAGTGGAGGGATAGGAGATTCCAGGAAGATAATGGCAACGCTTACCGTTGCTGGCACTGCCCCCAAGTCCAGTGGAGCCCGCTGTTGACACCTCTTCGTAAACTATTCTAGTACCATCTTCCTGAAAGTTCAGCTCAGCCTTTGGATCACCAGAAGGTTGCTTGACTGCAGCATCGTGTGCCTTCGCCGCATCCTCAATGCTGTCAAAGTAGTGTGGCAATTTCTTTCCCTTCATCTTGACGAAATGTTTCCCCTTGGGGTTGACCCAAACACCTCGATACCCCAGCACTCGGAACGAACCATCTGGATCTTTGTCCTCCGGTGCTGTATTACCCTGAGCGGTCGCGCCATGCCTAGCCTTAGATTGCTTCTTTCCCACCACACCCACAGGACCAAAGTTTTGTCTTTTACCGGTTCCTTGACCGTTCTCTTTCGAATGCGGAGCTGTTCGAAGTGCAGGGATCAGGAAAACATTCCGAAAACAAAAACAAATGGTAAAACGGGACTACTTACCAACTTCAGGTTGGCCACAGGAGCGTTCATGATGGGTTCTAGCTTGACTCGTAACACAGTCGGCCCCGCACGTCCTGCAGAGCCATGTTCCTGGCGGAGCGTGTACAGCTGACAAATGCTGCCTCAATCCCTGTTCCGACCCAAAATGGCGGTTGCAGCGAACAGCCAATCGATATGCCAACGTTCCCGCAACTTGCCCGGTTGCACCTGTCGAAGTTGTTGACGACGCCGTTACGATCTCTTCGCAGCAGTGTCCACACATGCTGGAACGGGTGAAAGAATCAAGGATTGGCTTGAAAGAAACCATGCCAAGTTCGTACCGTAACCACGATCGTTCCGGTGAAATTCCGAGCCAGCTCAACGCGCCTCGTCGGGAGAAAGCCACCTTATTGTCGTTGACAAAGGTTTCATCGGAAATGACTTCAGGAACTACGGGATCCCGAGACCGATCAGGAGCTGGAAGGCGTCCATTCAGAGCATCCATTGCCAGGGAACGAAGATCTTGCTGTTGGCGAAGAGGGTGATAGACAATGGTGGACCTCGTCAGTAACTTTCGAAAGTGCTCCATCGAACAACCGTCGGTGAAAATCCGGGAACGATCCCATTCCTCCTTTGCAACAGAGGCAAATATGGGCGCCACAAATTCCACCAACCCAGACACAGGTATCACGTCGATGGAATTTCGTTGTTGTACTTCCAGAACTGAGGCAACCAAGATTCTACTTCTAGCAGTCAACCCGATCCATGCCTCCCTCAAAGTGTCAGCGGGTATTTCGTCGAGAGAAAAGTCCCATTTCTTGTTCGAAGTGGCAGCCAACCCAACATGATCCTTTGTGGAGAAAATGGCAGTGTCCCACACGGTGGCAATTGGCGAGTTGGGATCTCCTTTTGCTGCTCCCTAAACGAAAATGGATGATGAAGAAGAAGACAACACAACCGAATCATGAATCCGTGGCTCAAAGATATCATTGTCATTGAATTACCCACACCTTTTGCAATCAACATCAACTTACCAACCAGGAGGCCCCATCATCCAACACGACCGAATGGAATGGCACCTGACAAAAGTGAAAGTAATCCTCTAGGAACGCCCGGTACGATGTGATGAGTACATGATAGGGAGAGTCCAAAAGGCCAGTTGCCTTGTTAAAAAGCAGTCGAAGTGATTTTCGTTGTTCCTTATCACCCGTGTAGGCCAATGCTCGAAGCCCCTCGGCATTGACACTGCCAAGAAGCGTTAAATGTCGATTTACTGGCTGGAATTCTTGTGCGAATCGTACAATCTCTGGCTCGGTAGTAATGATGAGATGTGTTCCATAAATGCCTTGCTCCTGTGCCATGACTTGAAAGAGATTGGCAGTGCGGCCATGTCGGGTCCACCATTCGACATCGTGATAAAGACAATGACTGCCCGATTTGAGTATGGATAGGAACCTTGGCAAACACGTTTCACTCCAAAGCTCCGTGACGGCTTCATGTTGTGGTTGGTAGGGTATGATGGTCTCCTCGTTGTAAAAGAATGCGTCGTCCTCGTCTGACTGGGGATTGTCGATATTATTGGATGGTTCTTTCCATTGAAATCTGTTTTTCATGCGAAACAATGCCTTGTTTCCCCCAAATAAGGCGCTCTTTCTACCAAATTTGATATTGTCAGCTCGGTATTGGTATCGAAGAGCGGCTCTTCGGGATGCATTGACAGTGACTGCAATGGCTCTTTGCCCCACAGCCTGGGCTTCTACGACGACATTTCCCATGTTGACAGTCGACGCGGATGGATCTTCGAGTTTGTTTGGATTTTGTGGAATATCCGTGACATCAATATCAAATCCCGGCAAGGGAGGAGTCAATGCGTCAAAGCAGACCGATCCGGCCGTGCAAAGAATGGCCCTGGAATTGGTGTACCTGGAATCGAGTGCCGCCGTGGAAGACGCTGGTGTGTTTCTAGTGAATTTTGGTACGAATGGAGCCGCTGTTTCTGGCTTGCCATTGCTTTCCGTGGATGGTTTATTGGCATTATTATTGTCTGCCAACGAGGATGTCGTTGGATCCGTTGAGGGAAGCGTGGTTGTTTTTCGTCCCATGCGTTTGGCATCTGGCGGGAGAGGTCGTCTGGCGTAGTCCTTGTTGTTGTGAGCACGCTCCATACTGGACAGCCGCAATTCTTCCAATTGTAGCCATTGATTGAGAAATGGTGGAAGATCATTTTGTTGAAAGGCGAGACTTTTGCGTCGTTGTTTCTTGGCGTGTTGTTGTATGGATTTCTCGAGGGCTTCCAGGACAGCTGTCGCTGCGGCGTCAAAAGCACTTCGGACAACGGCTGATTTGTCTCGACGAATGCGCAACAAACACGAGTCTGGTTCAAACTCTGCCACATGCATGTTGCTGCTGCTGGAGCGAGGAGGGACTGTTTCGCTTTCGGGACCGTACCGATGATACAGCAGTCGATAAGCCATGTCGCGAAGACGCCATGACGAAGAATCTATTTCGGATGTTTGAATGACCTCATCTTCATTGTCGCCCTTTCCCTTGCTTGCCGTGCTAGCACTGGTCTGCTTCGATGCAACCGCCATGGTCGAACATTAATAAGATAGATCAATTGTAAGATCCACAAAGAATTGAGAAGATGATCAGGAGATCGTTGGAAGCGATGGACGTTTGTGGAGAGACTGCCGGAGATCCGAGTCGAGTCTAACGAATCGTTGACTTTGAGTGGCTAAGCAGTTCTGACGGCTTGAATGTTTGAACTGGTCGACGCGTCCTTGCGGCCGCCAAGTTTCTTGTCAGCATTTTTATTGTTGCTCTGCTCCCACTCCAACAACAACAACAACAGCCATATCGCGAGGCTCTATTGACATTGTCTTATCATTGACCACTGCATTATCGACTTGAAGTGTTCAGCATCGGGAAGCACGAAGCAAGGCCCCATTTATCAAAGACACATTCCATTCATTTCGCGGTTGACTACAAATACCGTACTTCTTTCGTGTTTATTATACATTAAAAGCATCAATCGTCAGTCATGTCCCAGTATTTTGAAAGAGTCGCCAACGAAGTGTTGAGGGCATCCGAGGATCTCAGTGTGAGATTTGAAGATGGACTCGCTGCACTCATCAATGGTGAAATTCCAGGAATTGAACAGGCAACTCGGCAGCAGCAACAGACGATCACGGGAGGGGAATTTGAAGACATCGAAGAAGAGCTCATGAACTCTCCACTAGAAGGCATTGCGGAAAGCGTGATTAGCGATTTAATGGCAAATCAGGTTGGTAACTATGTGTCTATTATCTGCGGATTGGCTACAGTGAAATCAACAGTTCTTGAATTTTGGTCGTCTTAACTCCACTGATTTTTGTATTTGTGTTTGCGTTTGTGGACAGGCCAAACCAGAAGGTTTCTTGGATCACGTCAATGCCTTTCGGTCCGCCATTACATGGTCCGAACCCTTTATCATTGGGATCGTTTCATTCCAAATCATCATGTTCATTGCATGCATCTTGGTATCTCGGCCGAGTGTTGGATTGGGTCCCCGACTCTCCGTCATGGTGTTCATTGGAGCATTGGTGCGCTCGGTGGAATACCTCAACCAAATTGCCGGACAGCACTGGAAAGAGTTCGCCACCCAAAATTATTTTGATCATCGAGGAGTCTTTGTATCCTTCATGGTTAGTGGACCCCTACTCTTCTACTGCCTCATCATGCTCATCATGTTTGTCAGAGAATCATCCCAACTCTTGGTGCAAGTCAAAACCAACGAATTGAAAAAGAAACGTAAACAACAACAATCTGCAAAGAAAAAGGGAGCCGAAGAAAGCAAAAAACAAAAGTAGGAGCACAGCATTCAACACTTGGTTTTTTAGTAATACAGGATGAGCGCAGACTGCCATCACAATGGCATCGCAGCTATAATATCTAACTGTCTGGTTCGGTCTCCTCATGTACCGGTAGGGGAACCGGCCAAGTTATATTTATTTATGCAGCGAAACATTACCCACCGTGCGCAAAAAGTTCTTTTTCGAAACCGGTATTAATGTTGCATGTAGCCATAACAATTCCACCAGTGCATGCTTTTATTTTCCTCATTTCAGTTTTGTCTTCCGAGCATGCGAAGACAGTGTCGTCCAGTCCATGCAGACGAAGGGGATAATATGCCTTGGTGTGGTGTTAGTAACATAATGTACCGAACGATGCTGTAGTCGATGGAAAGATGATGGGTTGCCAAAAGGCGAAACCCAAAGCGGAGACACCCGTACATGCACACTGTGCACTGTACCGGTATGCCAGCAGCCTTGCTGAGTTTTCTAAAGATCCTTCTCCGTTGAAAGCATTGGGGATGTGCGTGGAATGTGCGTGAAAGTGCTTGTTTATATCCTGTCAGATTGAGGAAGATACCACCATGGCCTCCCCTGACCAACTAGAGTTCATTAGAGAAGTGCTGCAATCAGCACCTGCTGGTAAATTCAATGCTTTGTTGGAGGACATGCAGAAGCTTGCAGGTTCTTCGGTTCCAGATGATGCTTGGGCCGAAATAAGAAATCACCATCAGCGTAATACTTGCGCTGCGACTCAAGAAGACCTGTCCCATCCTATGGCGGCTTCATTGAAAGAAGAGCTGACCAAGTACCAAGATGGGATCTACAGTGGTGGAAAGGATGTTATCTCTCGTGGAGACATTTCTCCAGGAAGCAACAATGATGAAGTTGTATTGCGAACATATGCCGAACGGGTGGATGAAGCAAAGAGCCGAACAGGTTTCTGGTCCGCTGAATGGACCATCAAATCAGATGCATCAATATTGGGAAAATTAAACATTTGCTCCTTCTCCTTTGAGGGGGGGAACTTTCAACTTCGATCCACAAGAGGATTCTCCCCGAAAACGGTGGAAGGCGAATTGGCCCCAGCCATTATGAAGCAAATTGCCTCCTGGGAGAATGAAGCCTTTGTATCCCTGATGGATTCCTGTGCGCAATCTACCTATAGTTTGAAATCTATCCGAGGAATTCTACCGGTAACACACAAGCGGCTAAATTGGAATGTGGTGGTTCACCGCACCGTAAGGACTCTCCAAGATACAGTCAAAAAATGAAAGATGTGTGTATCAAATAAGAGAGTGCTCAACCGGTCGCTGTTTTCAATTTTTCAGCCTTATGGTCCGCACTCAGAAGTAACAGCCATTCTGCAAAACTAACAGCAGAAATATGGTACAAAGTGATTAGCTTTGCCATGCTACAGAGTCCCTACCTGTAGATTGATTATTAAACACCAGAATCCCAATGCTTCTTGGTAGCAGTTCAGTAGATAATCCCCAGCAGTTGTGTGCTATCCTGCAACTGGCCAATGCTTCGCACCATTGCAGTACCCATACTTTCAACGTGTGCGTTTTCCAAATGATTGGATGTCATACCGATATCTTGACGTCAATTAGCTTTTGACCTCGTCCTTCTCTTGCAACCCAACAACTCTGATCAGAAGACCGAGAACAGCTTGCAAGCCAGATGGTTCAGTCAGTTTTCCCCGTTTTCAACATGTGCACAGCGGTGTTTAGATGCAAATGATTCACTGCCTCTGGGTGCTTTGGTTTTGTGCGCGAAAGTTACCTCCTGCCCACTGAATGAGACTCCTCGTCCAAAGCTGCATCGTTCCCGATGACATTGCCAGTGCTGATGGGTACTCAGTGAAGCCATGGTACACATCTGTCTGAAGCTGCCTCTGACAGACCGCACCTGCAGCAATAAATTGGGCCCCATCCATGATAATTCATCTATTCTAGCTTGATGGACCCAAGCTAATGATTGTGTTCGTGCTGGCTACACACCCTCGGTGCATGGAACATTCTCCTCGGCGTCTGGACCAAAGGGCGCATCTTGGGCGTCCTTCGTCTCTTCCACAATAGAGTCTCTTATCGACGCCTCCTCAGACACCCTCTCTGGCAATGTTCCGTTGGCCGTCGTGACAGCTCTTGTAAAACCGCTACCACAGGTATCGTCGTCGTCTTTGCGCGGCAGCTCCAACTCTCTTTCTAGCTCAGTGGCTGAGATGCTGAATTCGCCGCTTGGGTGATTGCTGAAGTTGTTCGCAACGCTAAATCTTGCACTGGAGTAACGGGAAGAAATTCGGCTGGAGTACCTGCTGGTCATGGGGCTGGAATTGGGGAAATTTAGCCCAGATATCCGCGTCGAACCCCGTCGATCACTTGGTTCTTCCGCCTTGGCAAAGTGTAGTCGATAGAATTTGGGTCCGAAGATGAGTAGCGTGGACGTGCTGCTGACCAGAAAGATGATGGTGGATCGAACAAAGAAACTGGCATTGGTGTCGTCGTGGGCTATCACAAGTGTGGGGATTGACAAGAGGAGAATTTGGAATGTGGATCCCACACTGAGAGCAATCCAGGTGCCTTCTGACAATTGCGTTGGCATGTTTCTTTCTGAGTAAGCCAGAACAAGTGCATAGACAAGACACCCTCCATTGAGGATCGCAAGGGCCGCACCAAATGCTCCGGCATGGTCTGAAGTACATCGCCCAACAGACTTCAATGGGTACCCGTGTTCGTCCGATAGCACAATCTCTCGCTGCCACTGAAGGGGGGCAACAAGCTGCCAAACCAACAAGATGGTGCCCTCCAACAGCAACATAATAACCATGATGTACCCGACATCTCGGGGGGTTATCTCTCGACGTCGCATGGTTGCTGCCGAATTCATAAGCATTTTGACTCTCCAAAGCTTGGCGAATAAACCGGCGTAGATCATGACAAACCCCAATGCCACCAACCATAACCACGCCATGCAAGCGGCATCGACCATGCGAATGTCCGGGTTGGGTACTTTGGTCTGTTCGGATGGATTGCCGGCTTCGATTTGCCACCGATACCCTGTTTCGGTTGCCATGGGGATGATGGCCATTGCCATGACCAGCGCCCCTACGGCAATAACACCCAGAAAGATGGGTTGCGATAATCGCACAACACCGCTTTGATTTCTATGTTTCCATGTCCACCCCAAGAAGAATAGCGACAAACCAGCCTGAATGGCCACCATGGAATAGCCCACCCGAACGATTCCCGAGTTTATGAATCCCATATCTTCAATGGGAATTTTCTCCTTGCACGTGGCGCTGGTCCCCTTGGTAGGAAGCGAAGTGAGGGGCTCTGGACAAACACAGGCCCCGTCGGGTTGACAAGTCCCATTGTAAAGCCTTTGGCAAGGCGACAGCAGAAGACAATCCCGTTGTTCCCATGTTGGCATCGGATAGACGATGCCAAAAGGTGAATTCGGCGACGCTCTTTCACGAGGGTAGATTACATGAAGATTTTGTGCACCATCATACTGCAACAACAAGGAGGGTACCTTGCCCTGACCATTGTTATCGAATGATACGTCACCAAACACGGTAGTAAAGGTGTCACGTGTCAATATTTGTCGGATTCGCTCTTTGTTTTAGGGGAATGCACGAGGGCTCCGTCCGCATGTAGGCGTTGACCGGTGCGGGCCCGGTGACGTAAAAGTCTAAGAGAGAGAGGTCGCAAGGTGAGCGTAGCGCCGGATAGCCGCGTGTATAAGGCGCTGCCGGGTATCGCGCCGTACCATGAGAAGTGCAAGGTATTTGTTCCTAGTGCGGACGACTCCGACGTGTACGTAGTGATGCCCGGAGCAGCAGCACTGGAGTCAGTCGTGGCTGCTACTTACCTGCAACCCAACACTTGCGCAGATTGGATTTCTGCCATGAGAACTGTCAAATGGCAACCCAAGGCACAAATATTCTCAGCTGTATTGGGTCTTCCACTCTGGAAGCCATTTCAAAAACAGATCTTAATTACATGATGGGAGTTACCTTGTGGGACAAGGCCTGAAACCCATACCAGATGCCATTACTAGATGGACCCCTGCCCAATTCGCCAAATTGTTTGAACAGGCAGCCTTTCGCAATTCTTCCTATCACCCTCCCCTCACAAAGTGCTGCAATAAGCATCATGGTTCAGGCCATGGAACGGGCCGATTCGTTTCAAG